TATTAACCTTGAAACAAACTATAACCCCTCCCACGATATTCGATATACTCAATTCAATAGAAAAAATAAACAATGTCAACAATGTCAGTTGGTAGTGTTTGCTTTAGCGGGGGACGCCTCAAATGATTTCCAATTGAATAACTTCAATAAGAAGGAAAGAAGGATTTGTTTAAGATAAATGGTGTTTTTCTTCGAGATTTTTCTTTTCTTTTGTTGTCATTTTTCAATTGCTGTGATAACTTTTCAATTTGAAACGAAGTGAAATAAGAAAGGGCAACATAATAAAGTCAGCTATGATTTCTAACAAGTTTAAAATAACACTTCTACCTACACGCCTCTGTAGAGCTTTATGACAGCTTCACCTCTTGTCAGTGGTGCAGGACAGAGGGCCTGACAAGGACAGCTGTCTAGTCCTTCAGATGGGAAAAAAAAATGAGGTCCTGTGTATACATTGGCGTGAACGTAACAGATGCCTCGGCAGTTTGAATTCGATATAAGAGTAGGCCGTAGGGCCACTGCCTGGGCAAATTTCCCTCTTATTTTGAATTCCAACTGGCAATGGTTCTTTAACATGCACACCTGACCTCAGTTTTTCATCACATCCGGACGACTATACATTGTCCCTTGCCAGGCCCTCCATCCCACACCAATGACAAGGGGGAACCATGCGGGAAAAAACCTGATGAACTTTCTCAGCCAGCGCAGGGATCGATCATTAGACCTCCAGGTTAACAAGCCAACGTCCTACTCACTGAGCCACAATGGCCCTAATGTGCAAGAAAAAAACCCAAAACAAACAAGATCTACTCGGCATATAAGGAAATTTACCTGTATTGTTTTCTAATGTCACTGGTGCAAGAAAAAGTGACTTGTAATTTGGATGGGACAAAAATTAAAGGTGTATGTGCCGGTTTTCATGAGTCTGGTGGAGTGTAGAAAAGTAATCAAGCAGTTATAATCAATTCTTGACATTCGGACAGGTGAGATCATTGGGACTAGTTTTTCAATAGCGTCGACCAACATCAAGGGCATTAAATGTCTTGACAAAGTAGAAACCGTAAATTATTTGTAGGATTAATATAATAAGATATAAAAAAGGAAATGACAAGATTTAGTAATCAAAAAAAGTATGTTAAATAGTCAAGGAAGTTCCATAAAACGAGAATTTGGCTGGATTACTTAAAAAGAGCTAAATCTGCCTATTGCTGGTCTTTCTAAAGACAAGAATAACATATGGTTCAATTTTATTTCAATAATTTGCTTGTGGGTAGGCGTCTTTAGCAGTGGGGGGAAACCGAAGGACCCGGAGAAAACCTACGGGGTTGGACAGGCAACTCTACTCCTTGTCACATACAACCAGGGAATCGAAACCACGCCACTTGACTCAATAACAGACCTTGTGATTTACAGTAACATGCATACTTCACTTTAGACAAGATAACTCTTAATTCACCAGAAATAAACTACTAAGGAACTTCTATTCCATATAATTTTGTTGAAAATATTAATTGTACGCTACATACTGAGGGTATAACTAGCAATACAACGCATGAAGAGTCAATATTTTGAGAATTTGTGTGGGGTGGGGGTGGGGGTGGGGGATTTTTAGTTTGATTTACTGTATCTTGATGTCCGATTGGGTATATATATACATGCTGAGTGTAGCTTATTGATTTATCAGGGTTCAAGATGCCGATGGCAAGGTTAATAAACAGTGTATATAGATAGTATTCATCAACATATCTACAGTTAAACATATCCCAAACATAAGGCCACACAAAGTTGATTTTCTGTTCTTTGGAAACACATGTAAGAATTGTCCTTATTATTTTTGTTAAGTATGATATTTGTGGTCTGAACCCTTGGTCATATGTACATGTAGGTTACTTCCCTTGATTGGAAGTCTTTGGTAAGCCTTCATTGTAAGACGTCACCTGTAGGTCAAGTCTGCCATCTTGATTTTTTCATCCATGAACATGTGCTTTGGTTTGACAATGTAAACTGAATAAATATCTTGAAACAATTTCTGCGGCAAATAGACTTATCTAAAAACCAATAGTACAGTTAACTTTGCATAAGTCTGATCTAAGTGGATTAACCAGTTTTATCCGAGTTAAGCAAAGATCCGAGTTAGCCAAAGACCTAAATTCAATCATAGCTTGATTAGAAATAAACTGCAAAAGCCGAATAATAATTGATTCAAAGGCACATCTCAAGCTTTTGTTCGTATGTGCGAGTAGATAACTTCCGTTTTGTCGCCATCTTTAAAAAATGTCCTAAATTTTCCTGGAAAGTGTCTCGTACAGAAGACAGCGAGTTTCGAATTTTCCAGGAAAATTCTATTATTGCATTGCGTCAACTTGGCTGATTTGACGCAAAATGATAGGGGAAAGTATTTTGGGGCTCTGTGCATGAAATACCTAACCGCGTTTTAGACCCTTGGTTCGAAACTGACAGTCAAATTCTGAACGTACTGCCGATCCGACATAGGCGAAGGAAAAAAGCCGAATTGGATCAAATGGACCAAACATTTTGATCTGACTTACACGCAGAAATTTAATAAGAAAAACATGCAGGATCAAAGGGTCCAAACGATTTTATCTGAGCTGAGCGAAGATCTGACTTACACGAATCCAACTTATGCAAGGTTTACTGTACTTTGTTAAATTGTTTCAAAGGCATTTAATAATTGAACTGGAATATACAGGGCACAGTTCTATGGAATACAATTACTGCTGATGACTGAGCAATATTTCGACAAGGCTTAATTAAGTTAGGTTCCCTCCAAGGTAATTAGAAGGGTGTCTGTTTCTAGTTGGTCAGCATTAACAAAGTATTGTTGTGTACATACGTATATATTGTCTTGTTATATTTTCATATTTTATCATTGCTTGACAATGACTACAGAAGACTAGTCGAAACGTCGCTCAGTTATAAGCGAGAGAGAGAGATGGGGTTTAACATCCACTCGACACAAAATAGGTAATTTTATTTCAATAATTCCCTTAGCAGTATGAGGAAACAGGAGGACCCAGAGAAAACCCACGAGGTTGAACAGGCGACCTTACTCCTTGTCCGTACAACCGGGGAAACGAAACCATGTCAGTTGACTCAATGACAGACCTTATGATACAGCGCTCACATGCCAACCATTCGGCCATCCAACCCCCCTCAGTTATAAACAGTAATTGTATACCATAGAATTGTGACCTGTATTCAATAGTACTTTTATGTGTAGTTCAATAGCTTTTAATTCTAAATTTTTAAGGTTTGAAATCTTAAACAAAACATATTTCATGTGATTTAAGTGGCTATGTATTTATCAAGACTCTGGTGAACAGAAAATTAAATTAATATGGTCTAAATACAGGTATAATGAAAGAGCTACTGTAATGTTATTGAAGTGGTTATTTATTTACCAACACCATGACGAACTGAAAATCAAAAAGGTGTGACCTAAACCACAAACACTATAAACATATAACAACTTGTATATATAAATATTTAAAGCTGACATCCCAGATATATTTCAGACCATTAAAACTCTTTAAAGATGCATTATCCAAGAGCTAAATCTGCAAATAGCATGTTTTTATTTTGGCTTCAAGAGGCATGTCTTTTTTTGGCTTCAAATAACAGGTCTTTATTTTGGCTTCAAATAACAGGTCTTTATTTTTGGCTTCAAGTAGTATGTCTTTATTTTTGCTTTAAGTAGCATGTCTTTATTTTGGCTTCAAATAACAGGTTTTTATTTTGGGTTTCAAGTACATGTAGCATGTCTTTGTTTTTGGCTTTAAATAGCATGTCTTTATTTTGGCTTCAAGTAGCATGTCTTTATTTTGGCTTTAAGTAGCATGTCTTTATTTTTGGCATCAAATGTTATGTAAATTATCAATTTGACATTTATTAACATAACAAGCCTATAATCAACTCTCTAGTACATCGGAAGGTCAAGATTTAAATGGATTTAACAATAAAATGGACAATTGAGGCTTAGTCTTGGTTGTCAAGTACCGTTATTACCATAATTGCTTCATCTTCAAACAGTCATCACTTCGCAAAGAATAAAGTAAATCGATTGAAATTTTCAATATTAATTTTTCATTATCTACTTTTGAACTTAAAGCTCTTTATCTAAATCTTACATAATGCCTCTTTAATTCTATCTTTAATATATAGAAAACTTGTCCCATACAAATGGTTAGTTTTTCTGTGTGGTTGGAGACAATTTTTCTTACTCCAGGGAATATTTGTGACTGGTTTAACTTGAAATTGGTAATACTGTATAAGTAAATAATGCAATGATCTAAACTACAGTACAGGGGTGTTAATCATAAAAACTTAATAAAATATTTTAAGGATACTGATGGTTCATTGGCTTAGCACTGAAAAAAATAGCACAAATTTTACCTCCTAGCCAATGAAAAGACTGCATTCTTAAAATGTTTTAGTTTAAGTTTCTTGAATAATGCCTGATGACTTTCACTTCAAAAAATTTCCAGCCATTCAATTTTTGAAGTATTTTGTTTATTCAAGGGTTTGTTTTTCTTGCCAAAGAATATATGAATTTTGAACATCATCTCAATCTTCTTAACACATTAAAAGTATAAACATATTGTGTTTTAGTGATAAATTATTTCAAATATTAATTTTATGACATGGAAATTGACTGACACGTAAATTTTCGAGCAACGGCTGGTCAGTTAAGACTGAATCAAGAGCCCTTATTGAAAGCCCAGATAGACCAAGTCTGAATCAAGAGCCCTTATTGAAAGCCCAGATAGATAAAGTGTAAACTTGATAAACCTTTTTTTATGACATGCATATACTATTTGACATGTAAATTGTCCAGCAATGACTAGCCTCTTAAGACCAGCAAATATGTCTGAAACAACAGTACTTATTGAAAGCCCAGATAGATAAGTCTGGATCAAGAGCCCTTATCTGAAAGCCCAGATAGACCAAGTCTGAATCAAGAGCCAAATTTAAACTAGACTTACCTGGTTGTATTTTAAATAATCTTTAACATTTTCAGATACAAAATCAACCTTTCCTTGACTATTTACCACAAATAAAAAACCATCAAGTGCCTACAAAAATACAATTTTATTAAAATCTTAAAACATACATTATGCAACAGGTAAATCTACCTATTGTAGTTCTTTCTTTAGGCCTGAAATGTTATATAAAAAACATTAATTAACCTATCCAAACCATAATCAACCCTCGATGTCATCTTATGTGTCGGATTTTCATTGGATTTGAATCCGATCTGCTGTTCAACACTCATTGATGATTAAACCCAAAAATGAATAATCGAGACTATTGTTTCTTATTGTACCGACTTTAATGATGATGATCGAGGCTTGGCCTAAAATTCGCTAAAGTTTCGATTCAGAGTGGAGCAGTTTTCAGCATATTCCTATTACATTATCTTGTTTTTAACTATTATAGTGAGAACTGCCACCTCTTTATCTAATTTCCATAATGCCCCTTTAAATAGGAAATCCATTACATGTCTGTCACCCACCCTGGACATAAAATAGTGAGGGAGGGGTTATCTGGAACTTTATAATATTTATTTTGAAAAAGTCTAAAGCCAGTTTGAGTACGTTTGACATGAAACTAGGTATGCTTGCTCTTGTTGTACAATAATATTGCACATTGCTAGAATTTTCAACCCATAACAGGAGGCTGGGTGGCCGAATGGTTAACGTGCGCACATTTTATTACTGAGTCATGTAGCATGATTTCGATTCCCCAATTATACGTGACAATGAGTAGGGTTGCCTGTCCAGCCTCATGGGTATTCCCTGGGACCTCAGGTTTGCTCCCACTTTACGTGCTAGCAATTTATGGAAATAAAATTGAAGTATATGTTAGTCCCGAAATGACCTGGCTTCTTTCCATTGCTAAAGACCATGTGTTAGTCCGTAATGACCTAGTTTGTATCAAGTGGATATTAAAACGCATTTCTTTCTCACACTTTCGTTAAAGATCATGAATTACAAAGAAATGTAAATATATTTGTTATGAACGTCTTATGAAGCATTAATGTTGTGCGTCATAAATAAGTCATTCAAGTAGCCCTGATCATTGATGTAGATTAATTACCTTAATCCCTTTGTATTGATTAAGCAGAAGATTAACCTATTTGAATCAATTATTTAAGACCATTCTAGATAATAAATTGTCCATCAACATGACCTGACCTCATTACCCTGCTAACTATATTATATATATAATCAAGCTGGATATAAAATAAACCAACTAGACTAATGAGACAGAGAGAAATGGGATTTAACACCTACTCAACACAAACTAGGTCATTTCAGGACTAACAGTTTTATTTCAATAATTCGCATGCACACAGGAGTCTTTAGCCGTGGGAGGAAACTGGAGAGAGAGAGAAATGTGGTTTAACGTCCTTCGGGACTAACACAGGGGCCTTATATAAGCTGTGTGAGGAAACCTAGAGGGCCTGAAGAAAACCCACAAGGTTGGAAAGACGACCATACGCCTGTTACATACAAGCTGGTAATTGAAAACACGCCACTGAACTCAATGACCGACTTGATAATCTAAAGCACATGGTTGAGATACTTAGACCATTCGCCCCCCCCCCCCCAACACCCCGCATTTACTTAGACCATTCGCCCCCCCCCCCAACACCCCGCATTTAGATTACCCCTTTTGGGATCAGTTTAGAGCAGGTTCTTACCTCAAGAAGCAAAGGTCCGAGCAGGTCGTTGGCCAGTATAGAAGGTTTACTTGAGGATACCTGACTTTGTTGTACGGCTTCACTAGAACCGATTTCTGGAAAATACAAATAATACACAAGTAGTAAAATATACAGAATAAACAGTAAATGTTCATCATCAAACTTAGTCAAGGTATTGATGTAATGAGACTATACATCAAGTTTCATCACTCTCAATTAGGTTAAACCAATTTCCCATTGTGTTCCCAAATTCTTGATGAATAAACTGGCTTATCTCAGTTGAGCTTAAGCAGAAAATGCTCATCATTGAACTCAGTGAAAACATTCGCCTAATTACATGTAATGAACATCAATGCCAAGTTTGAACATTCTACTACAATAGTTCTAATTATTAGAAGCAGTTATTGACTTCCAAAGGTCTAACGGACAGACGCACACATTTTAATATCATAAACAAAAGAACTAAAAATCGCCTTGGATACAAAATTGTCTTTTTTTCTTCTGAACTCATGTGGTAACCGAGTTGATAAAATATTCATAGAAATGTACTGTATAAATAAATGAAATGAAATGAAATACAATGAAATGAGGTTTATTAACGCCCTACTGTTCTGCTCTGACTGGGCTAATGAAAACGAGCATACGCCATGCAGTGTGCTACGAGGGAGATTTTGCCTAAACAGTGGCTCTACAGCCTACTCTTATATCGAATTACATCTGCCAAGGGATCTTTAACGTGCATACCAGTATGTACATGGGACCGCGGTTTTTCATTCCATCCGAACAACTAGACAGCTGTCCTTGTCAAGCCCTCAGTCCAGCACCACTGACAAGGGGGAAACCATGCCGGAAAATCACGATGAACTTCCTCAGTCAACACTGGGAAGGAACCCGCGACTTTCTAACTAGGGAGCCAGAGTCTTACTCACTTAGCCACCGTGGCTCCCCTATAAAAATAAATGATTAAAGATAGCTTCATACCTTCTTTACTAATCTGCTGGATTGTGTTGACCGTCTCCTGCAGTATTGCACACTTATCAGGTTTAGAGAAGGCACTCATGTCCGGCACACTTGCAGAGATCAACTCGGCAAGTTCCTCAATGTAAATATTCTCCTGCTCTCTCCTTCGCTTCTCATTTAGACACTTGTTCCTGAAAAATACAAAATACAGACTCTTGTTATTGAAATATACAGACACTTGTAACCGAAAAATACAAAATACAGGCTCTTGTTACTGACAAATACAGACTTGTTACTGAAAAATAAAAAACATAGACACCTGTTACTGAAAAATACACAATACAGACTCTTGTTACTGAAAAATACACAATACAGACTCCTGTTACTTATACAAAATACAGACTCTTGTTACTTATACAAAATACAGACTCTTGTTACTGAAAAATACACAATACACTCTTGTTACTTATACAAAAAACAGACTCTTGTTACTGAAAAATACAGACTTGTTACTGAAAATGTAAAACTAAGCCCTTGTTATTACTGAGCCACTCCACTTGTACATGTATGTCTGAACAATCTAAGTCAAACTTTTACATTTTCAAGTTACATGTAGCAAAATATGGAACCAAACACAGCTTTATGGACAACAATAATTCGCTTGCGCGTAGGGGTCTTTAGCAGTAGGAGGAAACCGGAGGACCCGGAGAAAACCAACGAGGTTGGACAGGCGTCCCTACTCCTTGCCACGTACAACCGGGGTATCAAAACCACGCCAGTTGACTCAATGACAGGCCGTATGATACAGAGCGCACATGCTAACCATTTGGCCATCCAACCCCCTTTGTCAGTCACAAATTATTACACAATACAGTGTATATACAAATCTAGGGACTGTTTCACAAAATTATAACTAAGATCAAGTCCAAAGTTTAGTAATTTGATTGGATAATATTAGATTGATTTTAGTGCTTAGCCAATCAAAATTAAACTACCTACTAAAATTTGAATTTTATCTTTAGTTAAAATTTCGTCAAACAGGACACTGGACATAAAGCACCTGTTACAGATATTACCAGGCACACATTACCTTTATACATGTACTTTAATAATATGTTGTCTGGCAAAGTCTGTGACAGGTGCCTTCCAGACTAGAGCACAAGGTCAAATAAATTATTCAAATAATATATTGATAACAATCACTAGCCACTTTAAAAGTACTGCGATGCAGGTTTCAACAGCAACCATCTATTTCAATGATTCCTATCTCATCAAATTTTCTACTGTCTTTTATGTGTGTGGCAACAGATGTGACCATGTGTTGTTGAAGGTACTTATGACAGGTGAGAGAAATATTCTATAACATCGTAACTTTTTTAATAATCATTATAATAACTTGTGTACCTGTCAACAACAGATGTGTGTCCAGGGAGGGGCTTTTTGTGGTTCTACATTAATCAAAATAATGTTGAAAAAAAAAACCATTTTAAGTATTGGCACCGATTTGGCATCACTCTACAGACATGTACATATGTATGCACCTTAATGAGCAGAAAAATTGTCTCATTTGATTGATAAAGCATAACTGAAAACAATTATATAATTTTACAGCAAAAGAGGACATATTGTGCTAATCATGTTATAGTAATGAGACAAATTAAAACATCACAGAAATGTATTTATATAGTAAATAAAAACAAATATCACAGAAGAGAGAGAGAGAGAGAGAGAGAGAGAGAGAGAGAGATGGGATTTAACCTCCAGTCAAAACAAACTAGGTCATTTCAGGACTAACATATGGTTTAATTTTATTTCAATAATTCGCTTGCGTGTAGGGGTCTTTAGCAGTGGGAGGAAACTGGAGAACCCATGAGGTTGGACAGGCGACCCTACTCCTTGTCCACAGAAAATAGAACTAAAAACAAATATATTTCAAATCGTTTGTGAAGTGTCAAAAGGGTGTATCTCGGGAAATTAGTCAAATAAACTTTTTTGCATTTTTAAAATCTCCCAATTAACATGTACATTTCTGTCTAAGATTATTATTATTATTATTATTGTTCAATTTATATAGCGCTTCATTACACGTGAAGTGTTTCTAAGCGCATATCACAAACATATATGTGTATCTCTACGCCAATTAGAACTGTTCTGGGTATCATGATTTGTGGAAATTTTGAAATGCAAACGGTTCTGTTTCTTAATCTTTGGAAATTCTTAGATACACCCTTTAGACACTTCACAGACGAATCCTTTAGAAAAATATTATATTGTATATATATTTTATCATGTTACATTTTAGATATGCATGTAAAGCCTTTACATACACATCTAAAAAGTAACATATCTGATATAATATATACAATATAATATTTTAAATAAATATTTGTCTCTTTTAAGAAATTCAGATTTGACAAAATAACAAAATAATATCAGCTGAGCAAACAGAGAGAGAGAGAGAGAGAAAAATGGGGTTTAACGTCCACTCAACACAAACTAGGTCATTTCGGGACTAACATATGGTTTAATTTTATTTCAATAATTCCCTTGCGCGTAGGGGTCTTTAGCAGTGGGAGGAAACCGGAGGACCCGGAAAAAACCCACGAGGTTGAACAGGCGACCCTACTCCTGGTCACATACAACCGGGGATTCGAAACCACGCCAGTTGACTCAATGACAGACTTTATGGTACAGCACGCACGTGCTAACCATTCAGCCACCCAACCCCCCGTGAACAAACAGAGTTTGCAGAGACTGACAATGGTTGTCAACAGAAAGATAAAATGAACTCAGATTAGCCGCAATGGAATTAATATTTAATCGTCTTGAATTAGAATTAAAATTATATTCATTTCTTAAATGACACAGTTAAATCACATTAAATCATCCACAGTAAATAGACATCACAGATTTTCTAGTTCTAATACCCTATATGTCAAGGGCTACCTGTTATCTCTGACATCCAGCCCTATGATTTATAATAATGACATAATAACTTGATAAACAAAGCTTATCTCAGATTTCATGCATCATAGTCCACACTACGTCTACAGTGTAACTTTACTCAAACTCCAAAATTACATGTACATGTACATTGTATACATGGGGGAGTTGGCACTGTAACCCAGGTATTGATTAATCTTGTGTATCCAGTACTAATTTCTTTCACATTTGGTTAATATCAAATCTTTGTTTAAAATCACCAAAAATCGTTTAAAATCAACAAAAATCATCTAATTTGTACATGTGTCCAGTTTAAAGCTGACTGATTAATTTTGATAATGAGTGTCCAATTTACAAGTATTTAATTTCCTGATCACTGTTCAAAAATTAATCATTATACATCATTAATCAATTGGGTTGTTTATTTTTTAACAATGATTGAGAAATTAAACACTTGTAAATTGGACACTCATTATCAAAATTGAATGGTCAGCTTTGAAACTGGACAGAAGTACAAATTAAACGATTTATGGTGATTTTAAACAGTTTTTACAAATTTTTAAACAAAGACTGGATATTAAACAAATGTGAAAGAAATTAGTGCTAGATACACAAGATTAAACGATACCTGGGTTACAGTGTGGGTGGCCCATCTCTAACACCAAAGTCTAGTAGAACTACACTCAAACCCCACAACCTTGATATGCCATACTTTTACACAATTTGTGTATGAGTAACAGCCATTTTGTCGAGTAGTTTCGGTCCGATTTTCATGAAAATTTGAACTTAACCGGATAAAAATTGTGACTTCAAAGTTACGGTCCGATACATGCCAATTTCGAAAGGTACCGAGAAATTTGGGAAATAAATCTGTATTTCAAGTTTCGTCAAAATCAGATCAAAATTGTGTTTTGACCTGTAGAGTGTCCACAACCAAATTGTGAACGAATGGAATGATGGACAGGGGTGACAATAATATGAAAACGAAATGAAATGAGGTTTAACGTCCTACTGTTCTGTTCCGAATGGACTAATGAATACGGGCATATGCCATACAGTGTGCTATAAAGGAAATTTTGGCCGGGCAGCGGCAACAATAATATGCATCCACATGAAATTGTGGGCATATAAAAAGAAATATCTACCATTGATTCATGTGTATCTGGTTCAATAAGCTCCTTCCTTAATAAACTCCTTCCCTATATAAACTCCTTCCCTATATAAACTCCTTCCTATATAAACTAGTTCTATAAACTTCTTCCCTATATAAACTGGTTCTATAAACTCCTTTCTTTATAAACTCCTTCCCTATATAAACTCCTTCCTATATAAACTGGTTCTATAAACTCCTTCCCTTTTTAAACTCCTTCCTATATAAACTGGTTCTATAAACATCTTATATAAACTCCTTCCCTATATAACTCCTTCCTACATGTATATCTGGTTCTATAAACTCCTTCGTTATATAAACTCCTTCCTATATCTGGTTCTATAAACTCCTTCGTTATATAAACTCCTTCCTATATCTGGTTCCATAAACTCCTTCCTATATAAACTCCCTCTCATGATCTATCATATCTGGCCCTAAACTCCTTCCTTCTTGTATCTGGTTCTATAAATTCCTTCCTTTATAAACTCCTTCCTATATCTGGTTCTCAGCTCCTTCATACGATCTAATATATCTGGTCCTATACCCCTTTCTACCTATAGTCATTATACATGTTTCCTTCCTACATGTATATGATATTTCTGGTTCTATAAATTCCTTCCTACATGTATATAAACTCCTTCCTTCCTATATCTGGTTCTAAACTCCTTCCTTCCTATCTGGTCCTATATAATTTTATAAACTCCTTTCTTCCTATATCTGGTTCTAAACTCCTTCCTTCCTATCTGGTCCTATATAACCTCCTTCCTTCCTATATATCTGGTTCTAAACTCCTTCCTTCTTATCTGGTCCTATATAACCTCCGTCCTTCCTATCTGGTCCTATATAACCTCCTTCCTTCCTATATCTGGTTCTATATAAACTCCTTATCTCTACAGTTATTATACATGTACTACTAATACTAGGTATAGGCAATGGCTAAGACAAAGCACTGGAATGTGTGACATTGTCGCTAATTAGTAGAAAACATGGTCATATTTCCATGATCGTCACTAAATAACTATCGTATCAATTTTGAAATAAATTACACCTTTGCAATCGTCTTTTCTTTCTCTTTACCACTGATACACTATTTATATA